AAATTACATATTTCTGCTGAAAAATATCTGCCCTCACAGGTTATTAAAACCTAAGCACACTCTATTACAGAAAAACTTTGATCTGATTTGAGTTTTCGCCACGGTAGTATTTAATCTGATCGATGCTCCTCTTGTGTTGGACGGTAACATAGAAAAAAGTCCTCTACTTTTATTTTTACCAAATCTTTCAAAATTTTGAACACCATGAGTAGGTCATATCTCTTCCTGCTGATGATGTTTATCGAAAACGAATGTAAAAGAATTCAATTCCGCAAGGGCTAGGGTGGGGGTGTATCTACCAACTTTGTGATGTGGAAGATGGTGATGAAGAAAAGAGACGGAAATAGGAACGACGTTCATAAACAATCCTCAGCACAGCAGATGGTTCATCTCTCAGTTGTTTCACATCTTAGAGAGAATTCTTTTGAGCCTCATTATTTTTTTAGTTTAAGAGATTAGAAATCACGAGATGCTTATCGTCAGTTAACCTTTGATTGCGGACTAAGTTTCAAGAGGCTGATATAGAAGGATATGATACTTTGATGATAACTTCTAAAACTTTCACTTCAAGACAAGTTGTAAACTCACCTCCGTGGATCCTGGTCCACGACAAATGTGAAGTGAATGGGTCTGCAGCTGCAGTAGCGTTCCAGTTACTCAGGTTAAAATGCACCGGCACTGGGTGGATAGTAGTGAGTGACCCTTCAGCTCTCAAAGGGCGGCAATTTGAATAAAGCATCAGGCTGGCATTAAATGTGTCTTTTGAAGCTGTACATTCTATCAGACGAACGAGTCGGTATTTTCTGATCTGTCTGTATTTCTCTATTAAAAAGTGCACGGGAAGGGGGCTGGAGCTCATTCAGGACACGCCATACGCTGAGGGGACCTCAGCGGGAGTCGTGCTGAGTAGCCTGAGAACGAGGAAAAGGGTCACAGTGGAGGAAGAAATCCAGGGGTAGGGTCCTATGTGCAAGAACTTTCCCCAGTGACAGACGCGCCCTGTCAGTGATACTCGGATGCCGTCTCAGAACTCTGCCCATTGCCGCACGGCCAGTCACATGCCTAACCTTAGCCAAGCGAGCTACTTGTCTACGTCCCCTCACTACTGATTCTCCTGCGCTGTTGAATGCATGTCTCGCTGCGGGTTCTTGGTAACGGCGCAAGCGCTGCACATTGAGGATAGCGCGGGTGGAGCATGGGTACGGCACTCGGGTATCACTACAATACAACCTACGCGTGCTCGTTCAGCGGAAAGAGTGGCACCCTATTTCAGCTGCGGACCCATTCCCCTCGCGCATAGAGAGAACCGTCCATGGAGGAGAGTGTTTAGTTTGTGTTGAGTGGCACCCTATTTCAGCTGCGGACCCATTCCCCTCGCGCATAGAGAGAACCGTCCATGGAATGTTTAGTTTGTGTTTAACTTTCTTTTTTCGCTCCCCTAGTGCGAAAAATTACCAATAGGAATATTAAGCAGAGTTGCCGTAACAGTAAAACTGGTGTCTCCATGTAATTCAGTTATTTCCTTTTGTGACCTTATCTTTTTCATTCTCTGTGTGTCGCAAAAAGTAAGCTGCTTTTACAGTGCTATCACTTATTCTCCTAAGCAGTTTACATAGTTTCATGTTGTGTCCGCTCTATTCTGTTGAAGGTACTGAATTCTCTTGTCTTTGCAGCTCATTTCATAGTTGAAAAGTGAAGCTCAAAAAATTCACCACGCTCGAAAAAATCTTCAGATTTTCAAAGCTTTTTCAGGCAAATTGCATACCAAAGGTGCTCAGTGGGCACGATGTGCTCGGATGTGCGAAAACTGGAACAGGCAAAACTCTCGCGTTCGTTCTTCCCATTCTGAATGAGGTCACTTTAACAAAGCTTTGGTTCAGTTTTTGTAATAAGTTAGGATACTTGATTTCTGCTCTCTCAAAAAGTATTGATGAGTGTAAATTGTGCGTATGTTTCAGCTAGCAGTCGATCCGTACGGAATATTTGCCCTTGTTCTGACTCCCACTCGTGAATTGGCATCACAAATTTTCGACCAGTTTGTTGCTCTCGGAAAGCCTGTCGCCATAAAAGTCTCTCTCATCACTGGAGGTAGAAGCTTGGTACGTAATCAACTTAATTTCTGCAATTAAG